TTGCTTGATTCAAACAGTCTCACTCCCCATCCCACCAATAAAAGGCATATGCATGAGCAGATGCTACAAAAAGCTGAGTGATGGTCTTCTTTTGATCGGAAATTAGGTACAAATTATGTGGCTGTGTAAGAAGAAAGAAGACAGCCACTATAAAAAGTGTAAAACCCATCGCTACAGGAAGCCTTGCAGAAATTATAGCTACCTGAATGTTCCATGTCATAGACCAGAAGCATAGTTTTAGAACCAGAAGACATCTATTAGGTCCTGTTCATGCCATCAATTTACAGGAAAATGGGCTTTAGGAAGGCTTGTGATTTGCTCAAGGTCACATACATCACTGGCAGTAGAGCCAGACTGGAAACAGAATCTGGGTGTTTGGGTTCCAAGTTTTCTTTCAATTATACCACAAAACATATCAATTCTTGAAACTGTCAAAACATAAACCATTTGAATGAAAAACATTCTAAACTAATGTTAGAAAGGAGGTCTAAATGTTTGTGTCCCCCCAAAATTCAAAAGTCACATATTGAAAACTAATCCTTATGGTGATAGTATTATGAGGTGGGGGCTTGGATGGTGTTAGATCACGGGGGTGAACCCTCATGAATGGAATTAATGCCCTTACAAAAGAGGCCCCAGAGAAATCTCTCACCCTTTCTGCCATGTAAGGTTACAGTGAAAAGATAGCCATCTATGAGGAACTAGGCACTTATCAGATACCATATCTGCTGGTGCCTTGGCCTTGGACCTCACAGCCTATAGAACTGTGAGAAATAAAGTTCTGTAGTGTATAAGCCACCCAGTCTATGGCATTTTGTTATAGCAGGCTGTATTAGTGCATTTTCATACTGCTATGAAGAAATACCCAAGACTGGGTAATTTATGAAGAAAAAGAGGTTTAATAGATTCATAGTCCCACATGGCTGGGGAGGTCTCACAATCATGGCAAAAGGTGAAAGAGGAGCAAAGACATGTCTTAACATGGCGGCACAGAAGAAGAGCATGTGCAAGGGAACTTCCCTTCATAAAACCAGCAGTTCTCATGAGACATTCACTACCACAAAAACAGCACAAAAACAAACCCCATCCCATGATTCAATTACCTCCCACCTGGTCCCTCTCACAACACAAGGGGATTATCGGAACTACAATTCAAAATGAGATTTGGCTGGGGACACAGCCAAACCCCATCACAGGCTGACTGAATTAATACACTGGTTTACATAATTCTTGCTTTTATATACAGAATACAATAGACATTATTGAACCTTTTCTCTGTGAATCAAGATCACCATTATGAAGATAACAATGTCACTTCTATAATACAGTCTGTGAATGCTAGTATGACTCTGAGGGTAGTGTAATGTCAAGAATCTGCCAAGTGCTTTTTACGGATTTACTCTTTGCTCTCATTACTTACTGTTCTCAGTGTCACTGCTCCAAGTGTCATCCCCTTCCCTAACTTCTCATTTTAATTCTAAACTCTTATGTTTTCTGAAGTCTATCCTCTAGAGTAATATAAAATGCAGACAAATGAACTCCATATTTCTTGCAGCATTAATCATCAGAGCAAAACAATAATGAAACTAAAATGAAAATGCACAACATAAGAAAATATTTAGTGAGTGATACTTTAGAATATGATGTAGTCATTAAAATCATCTTCACATGAAGAGGCTTTAATGAAATGAGGAAGTGCTTATGTAGTAATGTTAAATGCAAAAAGCAGGACATAAAATTACAATAAAACTACCAGATACCAACCACATTTTAAAAATGCTTAGAGTGAAGAAAATATACCAAAGTGTTTACCATAGTAAGATTACTGACAATTATTATTCTCATATTATACTGTTCTACATATTTCTGTTTATTTCTGCAATTAAAGTGTACCACTTTAGGTCAGAAAAAGAATTTTATAAAAGGAAATATCACATTGGAAAATATAACCTAGTTAATCAGAACTATGTAAAATAAAAATATATAGATTCCATGTGAGAATCAAAATCCTCTGTTGTATGGACTTGTCCACAATTCTGTGACATGGTAGGGTTGCACATACATGGTTTTTGCTCACTTCCCATTTCTTCACTAAATTTGAGGTTGCTGGAGAGCTGAATTTTGTGGATGGGCAAAGCATTAAGGTATATATGTATTAAAGGGGAAGAGAGAGAGAAGAAAGGAGAGGGTGAAACACTTCTGAGCCAATGATTTTAGAAAAATAGATCTAAGTGTCTTTTTTCATTAATTGGTTTTTTATTAATAGAAGTTTAGATGCCACAAATAGCAGTAATTGTCATTAAGTCACTCAGGCTGATTTATCAGTGAATGAGCATGAAAGACAAATTAACCTCTCTAGAGACCAAGATATCTTCTAACTAATAATGTGCATTTTCTTCTGTCTCTCACACCCCTGAGACAGAAAGACCAGCTCCTCCTCTTCAGCAGCCTGTTCAGCCTACTCAAAGTAAAGACAATGAGGATGAAGATCTTTATGATGATCCACTTCCATTTAATAAATGGTAAGCATATTTTCTCTTTCTTATGAATTTCATATAATTTTTCCCCAGCTTACTTGTCAGAATACAGTATAAATACATATAACATAAAAAATATGTATTAACTGTTTATGTAATCAGTAAGGCTTATGGTCAACAGTAGGCTACTGGTAGTTAAGATGTTGGGTGAATCAAAAATTTTATGTTAACTTTCGACTGCATGAAGAGTTGGCATCCCTAACCCCCATGTTGTGCAAGGGTCAGCTGTACTTTACACTGGTTTAAGCAATAGACAAGGCCCAAATCTGTTCTCATTAATCACTTGTGGCATTAATTAGCATTTGCAATATGATCTCTAAGGACTTCTCCAAACATAATATTTTATTATTATAATAGTCCTGTGAGATTATATTAGCCCAATTTTGCAGATAAAGAAACATAGGTTCTAAAAGGTTAATTTCCTGAAGATCACACTGGTATTAAGCTGGGGGAAGGCCTAGACCCCAGATCCTGTAACTTTTAATAATGTGCTTATTTCCACTGTTACATGCTACATGGCTTACTGACAAGTTAATTCAATGCCAAACTATTTACCCCTAAAAGCCATGTGCAAGTGTATCAGTAGCTGCTCAACAACAATGCAGGAGAGTGGAAAATTATTCCTGAAGCAGGAAAACATTGAGTGGTGGGTGATTGCAACTGATGTTCATCCTCACCTTGATGTCTACTTGTGCCCCTTCATCCACTAGAATGCATCCCTCTTCTCTTCACAAATACATGCCCCCCCATTTGTCCTTCGAGGTTTAAAATAATGTCCTCCTTTGCAGAATTTCATGGAAATTTTCAGCCATTTCCACTATTTCTTGACTGCACAGTTCAGCTTAGCTTTAATAACTTGAAGATATTACAGGGTATATTTAGTCCCAAATTCTTCAGGAATTTTTCTCTAGAACTCATACATGTATGTTTTTATCTCCCTAGTAGGACTTTAAGCAAGAGCTATTTCTACATCTCATATTCCTTTCCATGTCTTCACTGCTTTTCTTTTCTCCAACTACCTAGTATATTGCCATGCATTCAACAATTGCTTACTGGGCAAATGAGAACCTGCATAGCTTGATTAGTAATTAGGAAGTTGGCATTCCAGTTTTACAACTAAGTAACTGTATTATTTGAGGTAAGTCTATGAGTTTGTTTTCTCACCATAAAATGGTCATAGGGGCAAGAAGTGGGTGGACTATATGAGTTCTATGATCTATAAGATGTTCTGAATATTTAAATATTATTTTGATTGGGACTGATCAAAACCTTACTTTATTCCATTAAGGATGAGGAAAGAGATAAATAGGAATTCCAAAGAGAAGAATATTGAAAGTAACAAAAATGCCAGGCAGAAGAAAGCCAGTGTGTCTGGAAAATGAAGAAAGCAAAGAAGAATCAGAGAAAGCAGGCATGTCCTGGACAAAACTGGAAATACAAATCCTGCTTGAGAGGGAAGTGAAGGGTGGAATATACATGGAGGCAGCTTAGTAACTAGAAATATCATCTAAGTGGTAAGCATAATGTAGTATAACATTTTGTTTTGTTTTATTAATTTGCTCCTCTGTTTGCTATTTAACTTGAAATCAAATGGTAAGCAAATATTGAGCATGCATAGATTCTGATGAAGAGAGTAAGATGCATGCTAAAAAAAATCCTGGTAAAAATAAAAACAGAAGGTTTTGGCATTCATAAAGTAATTAATACCACTAACATTTGACCATTAGAAACCTTTTTTCCTGTACTTTTTCCCTGATTTTTTTGAGAGGGAGAGATGGAGACGTATAGTAATTTTAATGGGGTATTTCTGCTGCTTAAGTTTAATTTTATTAAAGATTTTAATAATTCCAAGTAATACTATACTCATTTCATTAAAATTTTGTTTTAGCAGACAGACTACATAATAGATTAAAATAATGTTATAAGAAGGTCTGTCCATGACTTCATTAATAAGCTCCCTTGGATGGGAAGAACTTATGGTAGGCAGTAAGATGAAGTATCTGATGTGGTAGTGTCTGAGTTGCTAAGGAAAAGAAAGTAATGATTAGCTTAACAGCTTGAGGAAAAAAAAAAAAAACTTCTTTAGAAAAAATATCTAAAATTAACATAAGTATTTGCATTGAATAACATTTCTTGTATTATCAGATGTAGAAGTTTTCAGTTGCTATCCAAAGTTGAATAACACCTTAGGAGTACTCGGTTAATAAAAGGCCAAAAACAAACCACAAAAACATACCAATAAAAAAGAGCAAAATTTTAAAGCTATTTGATATTTAAGATCCATTTTTAAGAATCTTCTGTCTTGATACTAAAATTGCAGAGAAGAAATTCGTTCACGTTACGTAACTTTGAATCCAGTTTGCCCCTGACCTTTTACCTCAGAAAAGACCCAAGTTTAACCAACATTTATAATGAAATTTTTTCCAAGAAGAAAAAAATTGTGTGTTTTAAAGACAAACATACCTGCTTCATCATAGGATACAGTTAATTTTTCTAGCATTTCTCGGTCAATTGACAAAATCTGCTGTTCAAGGATGGTCTGGTAAGACAATACACTATTTTCTTTGTCTTTTTCATAGTCCTGAAGATGCTGTTTAAGGGCCTCTGGGAGTCGAGATTTTACATATTCAGCTGCAGTCTGCAAATGAAACAGTCAGAGAAAGAACTCCATTAGAGCTTCTCCTCTTAGACTTTTGACTTACCCTCAGGTGCTATAGAGAAAGCTCAAACCATTATGGAACCAACCCTCCAGACAAGCATGTCCTTGTCATCATTTTTAGTATCCACTGGACCCAGTAAGGTGATCTTCAAAAAACAGAATCACAGACCTCTAAAAGTTTTCTACCAGGTTTAAGGATACAAAAGAAGATAGATTTGGTTAGATATTCACAGAGTTAGTGCTCAGAGTTTCAACTATTATAGTGAACTGAAGGCTCTGTGATAGTGATTTTGCTGGATACAAATTTGACTTGCCCTGGTCCACAACGTGGAAGACAGTCACTCATCTCAGCAGTGAGCCCATTCATGCTTTGGCATCCACATCCCTACTTTGTTTTGTTAGTCTCTACTCATTAATGCTTACCCAGGAACTCTAGTAAAGTGAATTTTATAAAGGAGAGTCCTCTGCTAGGGCCAATAATGATAATGGGATAAACAGAAAATGAGATTTAAGACAATGTCCCTTAACCTGAAAAATAAAAAACCTCTTCACCACTTAAACGCCTTAAGCTTGTGTATATAAAATACTTAACTTTGACAGGTGTGTTATTGCTGTTTGCTCTTACACTATCTGTACAACACACTCCCAACTAGTTACATTCCAATTAGTAACAACTAATTACATGTAGTGATTTTCAATCAGGTAAGCATATTCCACTTGCGGGTACGAAGGAAGATATGCACATTTTGAAAGGTTTTCCCAAAGATTCTGATAATTTCTTCTGGTAGGTTACAATGGTAGCATACTCTTTACTCTCCAAGTTGAGAATCCCAGTGCTAGTGAAGCAGAATTTTATGAGCATAATTAAGTGACAGAGAGGCATGCATAAATCAGGGGAATTCTGAAATTTGTAAAACTTATCTCTTGAGAATGTCAAGAGTTTAGCATCTCCTTGCAGTGCAGTCCTGCTTTACTCACTTAGTGTCTAAAGTTAATAAATAAATCAGCAAAGTCCTTCATATATTGTTCGAAATTATATTCACAATCACTAAAAAAACTTCAAAAAGAAACTGCTGGAAAAAAATAAGATGGTCTCTGGGGCAATCTTTGCTTAGAATAAGGCAAAGACCTGTCTACATGGGAAAAAAAAAAAAAACCCATAGTGTTCTGCTGTGCATTAGGGTGACTATGGTTATCAGTAAGGTGTTATCTATTACAAAATAGCTAGAAGAATGTTTCTAAATGTTCCCAGCATAAATAAATTATAAATGCACGAGGTAAGGGACATGCTAACTACCTTGATTTGAACATTATACAAAATATACATGTATTGAAACATCAAACCTTACCCCATAAATATGTAAAGTTACAATGTATCCATTTTTAAAATTTTTTACAGCTAATAATCATATAATTTAAAATAAGTATGCATTAAACACACACACCGATACACACACACACACACACACACACACACACACACACACATGAGATACATGCTAATCAACAGAGGTTCGGTTTTTTCATTTATAAAGTAGTATGCTCTATAGCCTTTGGGGAAAAAAAAAGAGACAGGACTATATGTACTGACTAGATGATACATTGTTGAGGTTAGGAATCAAAGTCACAGAGTATCAGAGACAGTGTATCCTACAGCATACATATTATGTATATATTGTATTTAGTATTAGCATATAGGCATAGGAGAAGATATGGAAGAATATATTCCAATTGTGGAAGGTATTTTATTTATTTATTTAGAGATGGACTTTTGCTCTTGTTATCTAGGCTGGGGTACAATGGCACGATCTCGGCTCACTGCAACTTCCACCACCCAAGTTCAAGCGATTCTCCTGCCTCAGCCTCCTGAGTAGCTAGGACTATAGGCGCCTGCTACCATGCCCAGCTAATTTCTTCTGTATTATTAGTAGAGATATAATATTGGTTTTCACCATGTTGGCCAGGTGGTCTTGAACTCCTGACCTTGGATGATCCACCTGCCTCGGCCTTCCAAAGTGCTGGGATTACAGACATGAGCCACTGCGCCCAGCCAATACTTTATAAGTTCCACATTTTTGTATTGTTTCCATGTTCTCACTATTGTAATTTTGTTAAATTGTCTTTAAAATATATTTGTTTTGTAAACATTTTATTTCAATAGTTTTTAAGGAACAGGTGGTTTTGGTCACATGACTAAGTTATTTAGTGATGATTTCTGAGATTTTGGTGCACCCATCACTCAAGCAGAGTACACTGTACCCAATATGTAGTCTTTTATCCCGAATTTCCCGTCACCCTCCCCCTTATGTCGCCAAAGTCCATCACATCATTTTTATGCCTTTGCATCCTCATAGCTCAGCTCCCACTTAAAGGTGAGAATTTATGATATTTAGTTTTCCATTCCTGAATTACTTCACATAGAATAACGGTCTCCAGCTTCGTCTAAGTTGCTGTAAATGCCATTATTTCATTCTGTTTTATGGCTGAGTAGCATACCATGATGAATATATACCACATTTTCTTTACCCACTTGTTGGTTGGTGGGCATTTAGGTTGGTTCCATAGTTTTGCAATTGTGAATTGTACGGCTATAAACATGCATGTGCATGTGTCTTTTTCATGTAATAACTTATTCTCCTTTAAGTAGATACATTAAAATATATTTCTTTATGACTTTCATGATTTTCCCTTTAAATGTTTACACAATTTAGGATGAAAAGAAACTTGCCAGAACAACGACGACTGACTTCCAAGGAAAAGTCCACTGTCAAGTGGTGGTGAAGTTGTATTTTAGCCTCTAGAGTAGCCAAAGGTAGCACACAACACGTTTTATTTCCAGATTTATATCTATGTTTCCTAATTCCCTTGCTGATAAAATTACAACCTTAACATCATCAAACATTGTTCAATTTCTCTGCCAGCGATCTAGTGCAGAACAAATAAAATTATTCCATAAAATGTAAATGGACTCAGCATATTTGTGCAACAAATTTAATTCTATAACTTACTAACATTTTTCCCTGACACTGGAAAATAGACATACTGCACAATAACTGTTTTAAAACTCACACTACCTTGTTACTCAGTGTAATATCTGTCATTAATTTTTTTCCTTGAAATACCCATGAGGTAGAGAAAATAGTTCCATAATTCACATTTTACAAATATTGATGTACTCTATTATTGAAAGCACACCATCGGATTCCTGGATAGCCATAAGCAGATGATTGAAACTGGACCCCTTCCTTACACAATATATAAAAATTAACTCAAGATGGATTAAATACTTTAATGTAAAACTCAAAACTATAAAAACCCTGGAAGATAACCTAGCCAATACCATTCAGGACATAGGCATGGGCAAAGATTTCATGATGAAGACACAAAAAGCAATTGCAACAAAAGCAAAACTTGACAGATGGGATCTAATTAATCTAAAGAGCTTCTGCATAGCAAAAGAAACTATCATCAGAATAAACAGACAACCTACAGAACGGGAGAATATTTTTTAAAATTCTGCACCTGACAAAGGTCTAATATTCAACATCTATAAGGAACTTAAACAAATTTACAAGAAAAAGACAACCCCATAAAAAAGTAGGCAAAGGACATGAACAGATACTTTTAAAAAGAACACATACATGTGGCCAACAATCATATGAAAAAAAAGCTCAACATCAATGATCATTAGAGAAATGCAAATCAAAACACAATGAGATATCATCTAACATCAGTCAGAATGGCTATTACTAAAAAGCCAAATGATAACAGATGCTAGCAAGGTTGTGGAGGAAAAGGAACACTTTTACACTGCTGGTGGGAGTGTAAATTAGTTTTACACTCCATCCACCACACGTCAGTGTGGTGATTTCTCAAAGACCTATAGACACAAATACCATTCGACTCAGCAATCCCATTACTGGATAATATACCGAAAGGAATAGAAATCATCCTATTATAAAGAAACATGCTCACATATGCTCCTTGCAACACTATTCACAATAGCAAAGACACGGTATCAACCCAAATGCCCATCAATGAAAAACTACACAAAGAAAATGTAGTACATATACACCATGGAATACTATGCGGTCATAAAAAAGAATGAGATCATGTCCTTTGCAGGGACATAGATGGAGCTGGAGGCCATTATGCTTGGCAAAGTAACACAGGAACAGAAAACCAAATACCGCATGTTCTCACTTACAAGTGGGAGCTAAATGATAAGAACACATGGACACACAGAGGGGAACAACACACACTGGGGCCTTTGGAAGATGGAGGGTGGGAGGAAGAGAGGATCAAGAAAAACAACTCGGGGTATTAGGCTTAATACTTGGGTAATGAAACAAGCCCCCATGACACAAGTTTACCTATGTAACAAATCTGCACTTGTACCCCTCAACTTAAAATAAAACTAAAAAGGAAGCATATCACATATCTTCCTTCAACTGTGGCCATTGATTGTGTTTGAAATGAAATTTGCTTTTCTAATTACAATCATAATACAGGTCTTTGTATAGGGCCTATAGCTTTGACTAAACTGGAGTCATATTTTGGCATTTCATTTCTAAAACAGCATAACGTCATGGATAGACTTCTTGCTACTGAGAAAGATTCTTAAGAGGAACAGAAGGAAACAACTCTAATCAAGACATTAGATTCTGTTAAGATATTTCAAGAAATCATCTCTACACTGAGGTGATGCTCTAAATATACTCAAATGGGAGTTAAACCTTATGTTCAAATATAAGCTTATGACAAAAACACATTATTAACTGAGATTACAATTACTCCACAGTAATAGATAATATAAAGAGCAATTTAGATTTAAAACTTCACTGGGATTCTAAAAATGAAGTGAAAAACAAAATGAAACTCTGGAATTACTTGTCTATTCAATAATAAATGAATAAATAATAAAGAATTGATCATTATTAAATGATAAATGAAGAATTGATCATGATTCAATGTTAAAT